GGTGTCCCCCCGGTGTCCCCCCGGTGTCCCCCCGTTCAGCACCGCGGACAGATCCCGGCCCCGCTCCCATCACGTGGCTCCCCGCCCCTATAAAGCGCGGGGCGCGGAGCGGCGCGTCCTGCGCGGGAGCGGAGCGAGCGGAGCGCCGAGAGCGGTGAGAGCGCACCGGCACCGGCACCCCGGCAGCCCCGCCACAAACGGGGGGGTCCCGAGCCCGGGGGGTCCCGGGGAGAGGAAGGTCCTATGGCGGGGGAGGGTGGGGTTGTCCCCTCGCTGGAGGGTCCCGTCCCGGCTGCCGAGGGTGTCTCATGCCCGGGGGGATCCCATCCCGGGAGAACGGGTGTCGCGTCCGCGGGTGGGGGATCCCAGCCCGCGGGGCTCCCATCCCCAGAAGGGTCCTGTCCGAGGGACGGGGGGTGGGGGTTTCATCCCTGGGGAGGGGGTCCCCAACGGGGTGAAGCCCCTCGAGTAAACCCTGACCGCAGCGGGGGGGATGTGGGGGTCCGGGGTTGGGGGGGGCTGCTCTTACAGGCTTCTGGCCCCGAAGTGGCTGCGATGCGGGTCAGGATGATTTCAGCTGCCTCCGTCCTCGTCCTGCTCTTCCTGCCCTCGGAGACCTGCTCCCCGCTGCAGTGGCCCCGGGGTCCGTCCCGCAGGCTGACCCTGGCCCCACAGCTCACCTGGGAGCCCTGGATGGGAGCCCCGAGACCTCCGGTCCCCGCCACCGATCCCCTGCCCCAAAGACTGTGCCTGTTCCACGGGGCAGAGCTCGGCCCGGCCCCCCGAGCCCGGCGGGCGCTGCAAACCGGCAAGAGGCGAGACGGAAAACCCAACTCGTTGGATCTCACCTTCCACCTCCTGCGCGAGTTCCTGGAGATGTCCCGGGAGGAGAGACTGGCCCAGAAGGCGCTCAGCAATAAGCTCTTGCTGCAGAGCATAGGGAAATGAGGGAGGGTCGTTGGAGGCGGGGGATTGAAGGAGACCGACCCCGTAACAAGACACCACGGCAGAGCGGAGAACGGGAGGATGCTGTGGGCTGCAGCTGTGCCCAGGGAGTCCCCACCTTGCCCGGCAGTGTTCCTGTCACTGCGTCCCGCGTGTCACTGTTGTGCATTAAAGTCACAGTCGTACCTGCTCTGCTGCTCTGCTCTTATGCTTCCCCACTGTCATAAACCTGTGGACCCGAACCAGGTCGCCCCCAAAACACCAGAGCAATCCCAGATGCTCCCTTGGGTGAAAAAAACCCATCTGCATAAAGAGGTCTGAATGATGCAGGTAGTGCCACCCCGGCTGGAAGCTGCACCCTGAGACCCAACCAGGGCTTCTCCAGTACCCCTGTGAATGGCTCCAAAAGCTGCTGCTTCCAGCTTTGCAGCAAATCTGCACCTTTCTGTGTCACAGCTGGGGATTTAGGACAAGGTTTAGCGACACCTGAGCTTGGCGGTTCTTGGAGGAAGATGAGCATCTGTGTAAAACATTGGCAGCAAGAGCACTGCAGCCCCCCCAGAGGCCCCCCCTTCCCCAGGCTGTGTCCTCTCTGTGGAATGGAGCCCCCCTCAGCTCAACGCCCCTCCTGCCATCACAGCCCTGAGCTTGGAGCGGCCATTCCCACCCCAAGCTGTGCACAGTCCACTGCCAGGCTTGATGGGGCTGAACTGGGTTTGGGAAGGCTCCCAGGCACCGACAGTTGTGGTGGGAGGAAGAAAATTGTGCCAGGGCCCTGCACTCTGCAAACCAGAGAAAGGGTCAATGTCCTTTTCCCAGGCCAGCTCAGCCATTCCAGCCTTTGGTGGTTGACTGGGGTGGGCACAGGGCTGGACAGGACCTCTTGCACCCTGGGGACATCAGAGAGGGGACAGTGAAGGGACAGAGACTTGCATGGTTGGGACAGAGATCACGGTAAAGATCAGACCATGCCAAAACAGGAGTGCAGGGAAGTGGTGAGGAGCACGTGCCCGAGTTGAGCAGCTTGGTCTCAGCTTTGAACCCAACCTGGCCTGACCCTGCACCCCACTCCTGCCTCTCCAGAGGGGCTGCTTGGCTCCAGAAGCTTTTGGTGTTGCCAGAGCAACACGGGCCACAGGCAGGGACACCTCCCTTTAGATCAGTTTGTTTAAAGCCCTGTCCAACCTGACAACCCCAAGTTAAAACACAATTTTATGCTCACCTCCATCAAATGCAGAACTCACCTTTCCAAAATGAACATCCCAGGGTCAGAACAGCCGCTGGTGGCACTGCAGCAGGGACAGCCCCACAGTCACCACAGGCTTGGGGGCAGGACAGATTTCTGCTGCCTTAGTCCCCACCTTGGCTTGGATCAGTCTCACAGCTCCTACAGCATATCTTCCACTCATCTTTGTTCTCTCTACCAGCACCAGGAGCAAACCCAGTGTCAATAAGCTGAGTTTTCTGCAGAAAAGGGTATTTTTGCAGCAGAGACAGCCCCTGTTGCCTCCCTCAGCCCTGCATACAATTCCCACCCCACCAACAACTCTAACCCACATTTACACCCCAAACACCTGCCAGGCTCCAGCATCACATAAAGATCTTTGGACTTTCAGGCTCAAAACCAGCCCAGACCCCTCAGTGGGTGCAGGAGGGGTACAGGGGAGTGGCTGCAGTTCCTGCCCCAGGGACCCAGCACCCAGTGCTCACCCCAGGGACGGGTGACCTCTCCCACCTCCCACTTCCCAGCCAGCCTCACCCTGTCCCACAGTCCCTCCCTCTTGTGCTGAGTTCCAGCGTGCAAATGAAGAAAGAAAAATCCGATGGGCATTTCTGCATTGAAAACATTTATTTTACAACAGTGGTTTCCGATAACTTAGCAATCTTTATTTTAGTTTATATTTGGACATACAAGACACAAATTACCATGCTAAAACAGAAAATAATTCCTTCTGCCGTCACCGCGGGTATGTACAGGAGCTCAGTAGTATCGAGTGTTACAATCCACGAAGTTCAGACAGCCACGTCTACTTACAGACAACTCAAAGTATGGTCCTTTAGTAACATAACAAAATAGATATATGTCTATATTATAATTGCTTCTCAGATGCATTTATACTCGATTGTGGTGGGTTTGGTTTGGGGTTTTTTTACTATTTTTTTTCTTTTTTAAAGATGGGCTCTCTCTATCCCCCACCCCCACCCAAGTTGAAGTGCAGTGCAAATGCAGGCACATGTCTCCTGGCATCTTCAGCTCCCTCTGGCTCAAAAAGGGGCCAGGAAAAAACCCCATGAGGAATTACACAGTTCAGGGCCTTGCTCACATGCAAAATGAACATAAACCACCTGGGATGTCAGCGGTGACACCAACCGACCCATCCACACCCCGCCCCAGCGAGGCAGGCAACGGTGGGATGAGAGGGAGGAAGGAATGACAGTGATCAGCTCAGCATCCAGCACGGGAACAGCATGTTTGGAATTGGCAAACTTGGAGTTCAGCAACCATGATGGTCACAAACAGAACTTCAGAGGTGCCAGCAGTAAAAATCTCCCCAATATTCCCCCATTTCTGCCGTGAAGCAGGAACCCCTGGTGTTCTGTGTGGCAGGAACAGCCCCTGGCAGGAACAGCCTGAGGAGGAGGGCAGTGGTGACTCTATCCAGCATAGCTAGAGGGGGACATGGTGGGACTCAAATGTGCATCAGCCACAACCCTTGTGCCTTCACATGGATCTCTGCCAGCTTCAGGTGCAGGAATTTCAGAACTCCAAGTCCTTATGGAACCAACCTGCAAGAGGAGGGACAGTGCCTGGCCGTGCAAACCCCATGCTGCCCACGTGGGAACTCCCCGAGCAGGGTGTAGGGAGCAGGAGATGCTTCTCCTGCTCCTAGGACCCATTTATTTATACAACAGGCTCCTTCACCATGTCCTCACCAGTCCCTCAACCCCACAGGTCGGGTTTGGGTTTTCCTGCAGCTGAGAGCAAAGAAGCACATTTGTGGCCACACAAAACTCACACCTTCCCCCTGTCTGGCTGAGTTCAGAGCACTACTTGGAGCCAAATCTCCTGTTTTTACCACCAAAGAAAAACCCAAGGTGCACACCTGTTGTATAAATATATACATATGTGCATATATACATACATACACACACGTGATGCTGCAGCCAACGCCCTCAGCACGGGGTGGACCTTGCTCTGTGAGCTCACCCAGTCCCGCTCCAGGGAGTCCAATGTGGTGAAAACCAGGGAAAAAACCCAAATCCATGTGCTCTATCACAGCTTCAGTGATGAGCACATTAACCACATCTAAACACCCCACGTGCCAGCTGCACAAGTTCAGACACTCCAGAGCTGCCTCTGTGCCCTCTGCCAGCACTCCCTTCTCTTGTCCTAAGGAAAGCTGGAGCAGGCAGAGCTCTGCTCCAGCCAGAGGAGCTGGGACAAGGGGCAGCTCATGGAATTCAAGTAGATTGCTGAATTTTTGGAATGGTTTGACAATTAAACGCTCACAGACTGCAAGAGAACACCCACAGGGTTGGGAGAGGGAGCAGAGAAGACAACAGCACTCGGGAATGAACAGCCAGTTTATATAAGAGCTTCCTCTATACATATACATACATATATATATATAACCACCAGAAATTCCCAGCATCTATCCTTTTAACACCAAAATGAACTGTGCACATAACATTGGCATAATGAAAGTTCGTCTTCCAGATTTCTGGCATTTGGCTTGTGCAAACATCAGACAGCCAGCTTCCCTCCTGTGGCTTCTCCTCGTAAAGGAAGTGTCTTCTTGGAAGAACACAGGAATTGCAGTCTTGCTGAGTCCCAGACAGTCCCAGAAAGCCTCCAAAGGCAGCTCGTGGAGGGGACCATGGATCCTGTGGGAGCTGAACACTGACAAATTTCCTGCCACCTGGTGAGCTACTGGCTACAATTCTTTTGAGAGATTTTAAGCAGCTGTTGGTGCAATGAGACACTACAAACTAGATGATCTCCACTAGAATACTGAGAAGCAGCACCAGATGCTGAAGCATGTGAAGTTTATATCGACCTGACACTATAAACTATTACTGGGGCGGGTCACGGTTCAGTGCTCCAAGATTAATGCATTTAAACACCTTTCAGAATTACTGACACGACGTGGGGGCTGCAAACTGCCCTGACCACCCTGCCAGAGTTACCTGTTAAACATGATGCCAAGATACAGGTGCACTGGGTACAAAAAACCTGCAGCATAAATTTCCTATATTATCCAGAACTTGGCAAAAAGATCAAAGGGCACCAGAGGAAGGGCACAAAGTAGTTGAGAGAAGCAGGAGCCTCTCTCAAGGAGCCTGCATGGTACAAATGCTCTAGAACAGTCCCTCAGAGTGCACAGGTGTCCCCCCCACACCACTAAACTGCCTCACAGATGGGACAGGAATAGCTTTTCTGTCAGGCTCCTGCCCTGGTTACACCTGAGTGTGGTGTTTACAGGCTGACAGGAAGGGTTTGGAGAGCTGCACTCCCCCAACCACAGCCCTGCTGCAGGACTGGGTGTTTCTGTGCCATGCCCAAGCCCTCCTCCTCAGTTCTGCCCCTCCAAACCTCCAAGAGGATCCCACTTTAAGAACACTAGGAGTGCTAATATCTAAAGCAGTTTTAAAAATACTACAAATCTAAAAAGAAGACTAAAAAGGGAACATGGCTCTAAAACACCACTGCATGGGACCAGCAAAAACCGACACCCTATGGGATGCCACCAAGGTCTCACATAAATTTATATACAGATAAATATTTAAGAATTTCCTACAAATATCACTAACAAAATGAGACTGGCATTTAAGGGGTGCAATACCCCTTCAGTACAGTGCGTTTAGGATGTTCCCATCCCTAGGGAGGATGGGCAGGACAGATCCAGCACCTCCTTTTCCAGCAGCTCCATGAGCCAGGAGGGACAGCCAGCACCTGAGCACTCTCAGCAGCAGCTTTCCCTCCTCACCTAAGGTAGGAATGGCTCTCCATGCAACACAGGGATTAATCACTATCCTGAACACCAAACTCTCCAGATGGGATTCACCCCAATGGAGCTACAAGTGCTAAGGAAATCAGTGCTGGAGAGGTTGGAGGAGCTGGATGGAGGCGGCCGAACAACTGGAATGGAGGACTCAGGCAACTTGTACAAATGATACAACTTTAAAGAA